CACTTCTGGAAGTGTTGGCTTCCCTTTGAACTTAAAGAAGAATTCCAGGTAAGGCATTTTTTACATACAGTAGCTCCATTGTTCAACTATGCATATACTATTCCTGTGGGATCCCCCTAGAAGCTGGGAATCACTGAAGTAGACACAGCTACTCCATTGATCTCCACTAGCTTCCAGGCCCTGTGCCAAGCAGCTGCTAGAGATCACTGCACTTTCTCTAAAAAAAAAGCAAAGCATTCTCTGATTGGATGAGGTGGAGAGGCAGGGCTATGATGTCACATTCTTCACCATATTCAATTAGAGAACGCTTTGCATGGCACCTGTGTTGTGCAACTGACCTCATGTGTTCAGAATGCAACAGGGCAGCCACTCAACAACTCAGCCAGTGGAGGTGACTGTAGTAGTGCCTACTTCAGTGATCTCCAGCTTCTAGAGCAGTGGTTCTCAACCTTTCTAATGCCGCGACCCTTTAATACAGTTCCTCATGTTGTGGTGACCCCCAACCATAAAATTATTTTCGTTGCTACTTCATAACTGTAATTTTGCAGTGGGAGGACTAGTGCCACATCATTGGTGTCAGTGGAAAGAGTAGTGCCCCATCACTGATGTCAGTGGGATGAATAGTGTCCCATCGTTGGTATCAGTGGTAGGAATAGTGCCTCATCGTTGGTGTCAGTGGGAGGAATAGTGCCCCATCGTTGGTGTCAGTGGGAGGAATAGTGCCCCATCGTTGGTATCAGTGGAAGGAATAGTGCCCCATCATTGGTGTCAGTGGGAGGAATAGTGCCCCATCGTTGGTGTCAGTGGGAGGAATAGTGCCCCATCGTTGGTGTCAGTGGGAGGAATAGTGCCCCATCGTTGGTGTCAGTGGGAGGAATAGTGCCCCATCGTTGGTGTCAGTGGGAGGAATAGTGCCCCATCGTTTGTGTCAGTGGGAGGAATAGTGCCCCATCGTTGGTGTCAGTGGGAGGAATAGTGCCCCATCGTTGGTGTCAGTGAGAGGAATAGTGCCCCATCGTTGGTGTCAGTGGGAGGAATAGTGCCCCATCGTTGGTATCAGTGGGAGGAATAGTGCCCCATCATTGGTGTCAGTGGGAGGAATAGTGCCCCATCATTGATGTCAGTGTGGTGGAGGGGGGAATAGTGCCCCATCATTGGGGTCAGGGGGGGAATAGTGCCCCATCATTGGTGTCAGTGGGGGGGGGGAATAGTGTCCCATCGTTGGTGTCGGTGGGGGGAGGAATAGTGCCCCATTCTTGGTGTCAGTGGGAGGAATAGTGCCCCATCGTTGGTGTCAGTGGGGGGAGGAATAGTGCCCCATCGTTGGTGTCAGTGGGGGGAGGAATAGTGTCCCATCCTTGGTGTCAGTGGGGGGAGGAATAGTGCCCCATCGTTGGTGTCAGTGGGGGGAGGAATAGTGCCCCATCGTTGGTGTCAGTGGGGGGAGGAATAGTGCCCCATCGTTGGTGTCAGTGGGGGGAGGAATAGTGCCCCATCGTTGGTGTCAGTGGGGGGAGGAATAGTGCCCCATCATTGGTGTATGTGTTTTCCGATGGTCTTAGGCGACCCCTGTGAAATGGTCGTTCGACCCCCAGGTTGAGAACCGCTGCTCTAGAGGAACTCCACAAGTTGGGCATATACATCCTTACATTGATCAAGCTTGGACCGATGTAGCTATGTAAAAAAGACCATACTTGGATTTCTTCTTTAAGCAGAAGATATTTTAGGAAAGGGATGATTCTCGCAATGCAAGAAGAGAAGAGGAGTTCTTAGGGCGCATCTGCCTTGGAGACCAGTGGAGGTAGACAGTGGAAATAGGCACTAGAGCAGCACTTCCAGGAGTAGAAGCAGACTCTGGGCAGAACAGAAGAGAAAGAAGGTGCTTCCAAGTGCCTTCTGTTCTGCTCAGCAATGCAAGCAACAGGAAAGGTGGGTAGGTCTTCTTTTACGTTTATGACATAATTGAAAATTTGGCCATAGTAACAGGGTCACTTTATGGAAAACCTTTCCTGAGAAAAAACAAGGGTTGGAAATACTAGTTGCCTAACCATTATGCTGAACTTTTGGCTTCAAAACTTTCTGAGCCAAAAACATTTATAAAAATCTTGAAAATCAAAGTAAAGTCAGAACTTGTACAGAGTAGAAAAGAATACTTGTCTACCTGCTCTGGACTAGTGACTGACATAGAGCTAGAGAAGCAGCATGACAGTCAAGGAAATTGCATTGTCAAAAGAAGTCACCACTGGCAGCCTCCAGTGAATGCTTTCTTTAGCAATTTTTTTACCCAATCACTAAAATCGCATTTAAATTAAACCTTAACATGTTAATGTCCTTTTAAATGTCATTTTAATTTCTGTTATCTGCAGCTCTCATTAAAATAATAGCTGGTGATGCTGTCAGAAGGTACTTGTTCAGGCAGTTTCTGTTATAGGGGGGTAGTGGTCTGTCTCTGTTTACCTAACGTGTTTCAGCCAGGATTCTGATGAGAAGTGGCAGTTGCAACACACATTATTACTCAGGCTTGGTCCACTCTTTTCAATATCAGCAAACCCACCCTGAGAAATGCTGTGCAGATTGCATGTAGACAGGAAGTGGCTGCAAAGAAGCATCATGAGACATGCTCTGACATGCAACAAAGGATGACAAATAGGTGAAAATAAGTATTTTCTTTGAAAAAAAATTGCAGTTTTATTAATGATCAACAGACTCGATGGACTACTTCAACTTTTTTTCTGCCATCACTCTCCAAATTTTTAAACGAAATGTAACTAAGTTAGGGATTACCTGTAATTTTAGGGGCATTGTGGGTGCACAGAGGAGGCTTTGAACAAATGCAAAGGTTTGATAAACAGATACCTTCTGGTGCTTGCTTTCAGGGTTTGTGTCAGATAGGGTAATCAAATGACAAATTCAGTTTAAAGAGAGCAAACTGTGGAAGCTGTGCCCAAAATAATGCAAACCGAGGGCAAAAGACTAGCTACCAGTATTTCTTGTGGGCTCTCTGTAGCTGCTATTTTCCCTGTTACTGAATTACCATGCCTTCTTCTGCATGGTGTCTCTCTGTGGAGGTGACCAACTTGGTACATAGGCAGCACTTTTCTACCTGTTATTGCTGCTCCACCTTCCTCAACGACTGATGATCTAATAACTAGTGAGGTAATAATGAAGAAGTAGCAGGAGAGGTGGAGAAGCAAATACCTACAGAATGGATGAAACAGAGAGATGCTTGCAGTGCAGGTCATCAGGTACAACTGTTTCTCCAGCAAGGAAAACAGTAACAAACTTGTAAAACTAACAGCCACAGGTAAGCTCTGCCTCTCACACTGCAGATGTACAGCTATGATGCTGTAGGTACAGTAGTGCCTAGGCACACGCACCAGGAAGCACACTGCTATTTTTCAGGAGAAATTCAAATTGTGCTAAGGCACAATTAACATTTATAGAAAGCAACTTTTTCAGGCTACTTTAAGTGATATGTAATATATATTTTTACTGCTCCTATTCTCTGAAGTTGACTGTTGTACGTGACTATTGTAAGTGGCTGCAGAAAATGCATCTTTTGCAAATGCATATGTTAGAACCTCAAAGCCTACTGGGGAGCACCAGCAGGCAATTAGGAATCGAGGGCAGGATTGGTGCAATTCTGCCCGCGATTCTAAATTGTGGCAGAACGTGTGGCTCATTTTGACTGCGATTCATCCCGAGTGGCACCCAAAAAGTGGTATTATTGTTTGCAAAACGCACGAGAATTGTGGGAAAACATGAGTGTAAAATCGCACCTGGCTCAGGGCCAAAACCCTCTCTCCACAAGTTCATTGAGCAAATAAAAACACAAAAGACTAAAGTAACTAAAGCTTTATTGTTTCCATTGGAGAATCAGTGTTGCTGGATGCAGCTACAAAGTGGGTCACCATTGGAAAAGGTTGGAAAACCTGGTATATTTCAGTGAAACCTTAAGGGGTTAAGTACTACACAAAAAAAAATAAGGGGTTTATGATTTCATATTAGGATAGTGATCAGAGCATGCAACTCATTTCTTGTTTGCCCTATGACCATTTGTGCATTAAATACAGATACAGCCTAATAATATAGAGCCATTTATCACATACAACGGTTTGCAACTTGTTGGCCATCATTAGCATAGTGTATGGAAACAATGGCTTCTGTGGAGTAAGGTTTTTGAAATGATTTGCATGTTCTTCCCCCTATCCAAAAATTAGGTATTGACACATTATTTTTTGGATTTGAGTGAGACATAATTACCATCTTCTTTAGAAAAGCTCTATTGTGCTCTGTATTTATCAAGTTAATGGCTTTTTGGGTAATTTTAGCACACATCAGTAAAATCTGTCTGATTGTACCACCTTGTTTGCCCTGTAGCTGTACCCCATAAGATCAGCCTTTCTCAACCCTTTTAACCTGATGGAAGCCTTGAGATAACTTTCCAGGCTCAGAAAACATTGATGATGATTACTATGTCTACAGCTCACTGTACATTAGTGTGATGGTCAAAGGAAAGAATGCTCCTTACATTGGTGATCATTGAGAAGAAGTCCCCTTACAGATCGCTAAAAAAAATCATTTGTGTGAGTGGAAACATATGAGAGGCAGAAGTTGCTCATTGCTCAAGGAACCCCCCGCAACCTTTGGAGGAAACCTAGGGTTTCAGAGAACCATGATTGAGAAAGGCTGCTATAGATGCCATACACTCTGCTGATTGTGGTTAGCTAACATAGAATAGTTGTATGGAGTTGTGGGTTTGCATACTAAGTTTTGACTTTTCCCATGCGTCAACCACCTAATGTCATCAGTGCTGTATATAATGTATACTACTAGAAAGAGTACTACTGCTTTATAAGTTGTTTCTTAACTGCTTCTTTTTGTCCCTTTTAGGCACCTCAGTATAGGAATGGGGGGCCCCTGGATATGACTCTGGCCCCCTATATTTCTTCTCTGGCTCTTCAATTAATAGACTTTCCTCTGTCAGTTTCCGTGCCATTATGGGCAGTGTGGGCAGTCTCCTCTCTGGGCATGGCCTTAACAGCAAACAAGGAAGAGGTTCTCAACATCGTGGGAGGAAGCCACCTCACCTCAAGAAGCTGAGCCGTTGCTCAGATGGTATCCTAAGATTTGGCTTTTCCCAGGAGTCAGGGCATGCCAAAGGAGGGGGATCTAAGATGGGCCGCAGTGAAGACTTCTTCTACATCAAAGTAAGCCAGAAACAACATGTGGGACCACGAGACCACGTAGGACCACGGGACCATGCAGGCCCACGAGATCATGTAGGACCTCGGCAGGAGTATCTTGGAGGAGTGGCAAGCTCAGAGTCAGAAACTCAGCCAGTCCAGGAATATCCTGTGCCAACAAATAAGCCCTGCAGCCAGACTAGCATGATCCACTTTCCCAACCGACTAGAGCTGGTAAGAATGGGTTATAGTTGCCTGAATGTTTATCTTTATTCCTTTGAAGTAAAAAATATTCATAGCTATAAAAATATGGTTGTTAAACGTTAGCAGAGCCCACAATAATTTCCAGCTGCCGTTTTTTTTTTCTTACTTACCTCTAGGTCACCTAAAGATCTACTGCCCTGAAGCACAATGATAAATATTAAAGTGTATCTAAACCCAAGAACCATAATGTAATATAGTGAAGCTTTGCAGCCATGGCTCAACCGCCTTTTTTTACCATAGCTCCCAACTTTTTGAGATGGGAACGTGGGACACCTATTAGCAAATGTATGCAGGCAAAGGACACACACCCTACCTCACCCCCTTAAAAGAGAATTATATACTGTTCAAAAAAATTAAAGGAACAATTTGAAAACACATCAGATCTCAATGGGGAAAAATATCATGCTGGATACCTATACTGCTATAGACTAGGTAATGTGTTGGGAACGTAAGGATGCCCCATCGTTTGATGGAAATTAAAATGATCAACCTACAGAGGACTGAATTCAAAGACACTCCAAAAATCAAAGTAAAAAAATGATGTAGCAGGCTAATCCATTTTGATGAAATTTCATTGCAGCAACTCAAAATGGAATTCAGTAGTTCATATGGCCCCCACATGCTTGTATGCATGCCTGACAATGTCAAGCCCTCAGGCCACCCTCATGAAGTCTGTTTCTGATTGTTTGGTCAGAGACATTCACATCAGTGGCCTGCTGGAGGTCATTTTATAGGCTCTGGCAGTGCTCATCCTGTTCCTCCTTGCACAAAGGAGTAGATACCGGACCTAATAATGGGTTAAGGACTTTCTATAACCCTGTCCAGCTCTCCTAGCGTAACTGCCTGTCTCCTGGAATCTCCTCCATGCTCTTGAGACTGTGCTGGGAGACACAGCAAACCTTCTGGCAATGGCTTGTATTGATGTGCCATCCGGGTATCACCTCATGCTACCAGTAGTAACAGTGGCCCTAGCCAAATGCAAAACTAGTGAAAAACAGTCAGAAAAGATGAGTAGGGAAAAATGTTCTATTGTAACACTATTCCTGGTTTGGGGGTCGTCTCATTGTTGCCCATCTAGTGCACCTGCTGTTAATTTCATTAACACCAAAGCAGCTAAAACTTATTAACAACCCCCTCAGCTACTTAACTGACCGGATAAATATCTCAGGAGTTTAATTGACTTGATGCTATACTCTGATTAAAAAGTGTTCCTTTAATTTTTTTTGAGCAGTGTACATAAAAAAAAATTAGTTAAACCTAGTGTTTTGTTTTTACTACTGCTCTTCCTTTATATTGGCTTTTGATGTTTACAAATGCAACAATTTAGAAGCTGGATAAAGGGTTTAGCACTGGGAAACACTTTTTGAAAGATGAATAGTGCATTTTATATACAACTATAGAGGGACAAATGAGGAGGAAAGAGGGACAGAGCGACTTTGTTCCAAATCAGGGACAGTCCTTCAAAATTAGGGACAGTTGGGTGGTAAGTTTTTACCTCCCTGACTGCAAGAATAATCAACCCTGTACTGACGCAGAACAAGTAAGATTCAAGTGAAGTGAGAACTTCTGATCTACATATTTGTTCCTGGTTGTTGACTCAAAAAGGACTAGATCATTGTGAAGGCCAGTTAGATTTCAGTTAACTTCAATTAGATAATTGACCGAAAAAATCTTATTGGTTGTTGCAGATTGCATATCATAATTGTTCTTTGATCTGCTTTACTGAAGAAGCCAGAGATTCACATTACAAGGGAAAAAAAATTAAAAAATAAAATATGCGGCTTGCCATGACTGAACTGAATGCTCCTTTTGAAAATGCTAGCTCCCTGTCTGCCATGCTGATCCAACAGTTTTAATACTACTGGAATAACTGGCTCACAAGAATACTGAACAGGAGTTCTGAAATTCCTCTAATTTTACAAGCTGTATGTGTATTCCAGCTCAGAGCATTGGAAACTACTGATGTCAGAGGCAGCCAGGAAATTACAGCCTGTTGACTCCCACAGTACAGTTTCCTTAAACATCTTTACATAGGTGGACAAAGCTGTCGTTGGCATGTGGCTGCATTTAGCTAGGGTGAGGCACAGGCAGGGGCGGACTGACCATTTGGAAACTCGGGCACTGCCCGAGGGCCCGGGGTCAGTAGGGGGCCCCATAAGATGCCCCTGGTACCTTTTTCATATGCGTTTTTGAGTTTGGGCAAAGACACAGGGGCCCCATGATCCCCTATTGCCCGGGGGCCCCATGAGTTGTCAGTCCGCCCCTGGGCACAGGATGATACATTCAGGGATAATTTAGGTTGTTCCATGGCAGTAAAACACATGGTGTAGTGCTTTGCATTAGCCCCCCCAATGCTCCTAAATTGCAGCACACCACAAAAGACAGTAACATACAACCATTCATTGTGGTGCGTTGCTTTGTAAAAAAAAAAAAAAGTGCAGTTCTGATATTATGTCTGTTGTGGTGCAAATCAATAGGTGGTTTTCATGTAAAGCACATTAACTCCCATGCATTGAAAAAGAACACCTAAATAAATTCGTTTCAGTGTTCTGTCTCCCAGGGGACAATGGACAGGTACTACTTTTTGTCCCAATTTTCTACATGCTTTGTAAGCCTGACTTCAAGGTCAGACAGGGCATCCCCCTCTCTCCTATGGCTGTCCGACAACATAGCTAGCAAGGGAATGGCTACTGGATATCTGGTGTCTGTGTCAGCTCCAAGCACTTACCCTAGACAAGCAGCAGCAAGAGGAACCCAGAGGGAGATGTCAGCCTCCATACTCTGTATTTCTTTTGCCGCTGCTTGTCTCGGGCAAGTGCTTGGAGCTGAAACAAGCACTGATTGTCAAGCAGCTGTCTCCTTCCTAGCAACGTCGTCGGACAGCCATGGGTGGGCACCCTGTCCAACCTTTGTAGCTAAACATACAAAGCATAAAGGAATATGGAACAAAGTACTAAATGTACAGTATGTTGTTCCCTGGGCAACAGAACACTAAAAAGTGAGTTTCTTTTAGCGTGCTGCAACAGACCAGATGGGTTTGAATTAGTAATGCATCAATAGCCTTTTTTTCAATATGTGAGTACAAGTACCGATACTTTTGGTCAAGTACTCACCAATACCAATACTATACAAAATGTATGGACCCAAATTGCACCATAAAGAATAGCATGCGATTCCTTTCCAAATCGCATGCCGTTTCCCCACTGCTCCTGTCTGAACCCAGACTGTCATAGCCTGAGTTCACAAGATGCAGGGAAGTTTTCCACAGCAGAGATTGGGAGCGTGTGGGTATGTATACTATGGTGGCAGATGCTCCAAATTCTCAGAGGTAGGAGAGGAGAGAAAGCTGTGGGGATTTGAAATCCTAGCCACTTTCTCTCCTCTCCTTGCAGGGATGACAGTTCGGGCTAGAGGACTTTTGATTGGTCAGCACTGTCATATAGATGGTGCTGACCAATCAGATGCCGTATAGATATTTGCAATACAAATGAACTGCAATTGCAATAATTCACATTCTAATAACTAAAACATAATAAATTCAGTGTAACAATCGAAACATTCAAAAAAACATACAAAGTGCAGTAATGGTGCAAACCTCCAAACTAAAAAGTCTTAATAATGTGAATGAGGCAAAAATGTTGGTTGAAATTTGGCTTTAGTTTTGTTAATCGAGTCCATATAAATCTGCTAGTGCATCTAACCCTCTCCCCAGATTGACAATCCTGCTGTCCAAAGGCTACCCCTTCCATCCAGAATGGAGACACCCTAAGATAGAAAGTGTGTTACTGACCAGATCAGAAAGAATAAAGCAAAAACAAATTAATGCAGCCACCTCATTTAAAGCTGATATTTAGATATGACAATTTTTATATAATTACATTGGTAGTGCTTGGACCAATGGGAGAATGTAAGTGCCAAACCTGTGGGATCCCCATGGGAGCTGGAAATTTCCACTAGCTTCTGGGTCCTGTACCGGAGTGGCTGCCCTGCTGCATTGTGAACACAAAAGAACACTTTTCATGTTCTCGTTGAATTCAAAGTGTTCTCTTATAGAATGAGGTTTCAAGGTGGAGCAGGGGCTTACCAATCTCCACCTCATCCAATCAGAAAATCATTGGGAAAATGCAAAGCGTTCTGTGAATGGCATTTATTCCAAACGACCGACCTCTTGTGTTCGATAAGCAGCAGGACAGCCTCTGGGCACAGGACCCAGAAGCTGGTGACAAATACTGTTGTAGTGGCGCCTACTGCAATGATTTCCAGCTTCCATTGTGATCCCACAGGTATGGCACATACATACATTGGTCCAGTTTGGCAAAACACTATGTCAAAATAAAATTCCATTGGTCCAGTTTTTGTAATACCACTTTAGGCAGGGGCGGACTGACAACTCATGGGGCCCCCGGGCAATAGGGGATCAGGGGGCCCCTGTGTCCTTGCCCAAACTCAAAAAAGCCTATGAAAAAGGTACCAGGGGCATCTCATGGGGCCCTCTACCGACCCCGGGCCCTCGGGCAGTGCCCGAGTTTCCAAATGGTCAGCCCGCCCCTGGCTTTAGGCATACTGCCAGGTGGAATCATCATGATAGGTAGGCAACTAGCATTTTCAGAAATAAAGATCAACATTAGCAGTTTTGATGTACTTTTTGCAAAGGGTCTAAGGTGTGGATGACACAACTGTTATCAGCACACACTGTATGGATCTCTAAATGCTCTTATGTATGCAATTGTACATATAGTGCATGTCCTATATCAATCTCATGTTAGTGAAGGTTCTGACACTCATGTAATGGAATAGCTGCTTACAGGGGCGGACTGACAACTTATGGGGCCCCCAGGCAATAGGGGATCATGGGGCCCCTGTGTCCTTGCCCAAACTCAAAAAAGCCTATGAAAAAGGTACCAGGGGCATCTCATGGGGCCCCCTACTGACCCCGGGCCCTCGGGCAGTGCCCAAGTTTCCAAATGGTCAGTCTGCTCCTGGCTGCTTACATCACCCAAGCTGCTGCTCTGCTGTATTAAGGAGGCTGTTTAGTCCCTTCTTGTACAATACTGAATAGCCTTCCTTTATAAGTAAGGCTCGGTTCACACTTCTGCAGTTTTCTTTTTGTCCTTTTTGCAGTGCTTTTCGCAGTTTGTTTAGCATTTTTTCTGCACACGTTTTTGATGCATTTTTATCGCGTTTCATGTTTTGTTCAGCTCTTTTTTTTGTTAAAGTGGAATTTTTTTGTTGCTGGGCAGAATATAAATGCAAAACACAGCAAAAACGCACTACCATGCATTTCATCAGCTTCTCCGATGAACTATTGTAGCAAAAACGCTTTTAAAAAAAGTCCCTGACCCTTTCCAAAAAGCACAGCAGCTCAAAAGAAGCATAGATGTCAACATGTTCCATAGGAAGCCATGATAAATGGACTGTAGTGTGTTTCTGCAAAAAGCACTAAAAAACGCATTGGCGTATGTGCTCGTTAAATTAAATCATTTAGTACCCTAAATACATTTAGCAGACTTTGACTTTTTTTGTACAGGTGAAAAGAGAAGACATTTGCATTTCATTATTACATTCACACTGACAAACATACCCAGCAACAATCACATGCAAGAACCCCAGTGGGGTTTCTCAGAGATTAGCTGCGGGAAGTTCAATGGGAGGCTGCCGACTCCTACAGCTAATTGCAACCGCTAGCATGTAATCATTCATACAGCAGTCACCTGTGAGTGGTCGGCCCTGGACGCAGGTTAAAAAGTAAGAAAAATATACTGCAATGATTAAGCAATAGGAGTAATATGCTGCAGCAACAATAATTGTTTTAAAACACAATGTATATATTAGTGACGCGCCGATATATCGGGTGTCGAAAATTATCAGCCAAAAATAGGGTTATCAGTGTTTTGCCGACAGAAAAAAAAAAAAGGTGCCAATAATTATAACTGACTTCAATGCAAAATCACATCCCATTGACTTCAATGCAAAATAACATCCCATTCACTTCAATGCAAAAACGCCCCCTTTGACTTCAATGCAAAATCGCATCCCATTCACTTCAATGCAAAATTGCCCATTATTGAACTCAATGCAAAAATGCTTCTATTTAGGTTTTTAATTTTATATATATTTCATTTTATTTCCCGTCCACTTTTTGTGTGTTACTTTCAAAAAAGTTATTTAAAGTTACCGGATTGTATTTTTTGATTTCATATTCATTTAAATTCATGATATTAATCAAAAAGTCGATTCTAATACAATTATATATAAAAAATACATTTTTTTAAAAACTCTCCCTTTTGGTTTCAGTTTTTGGTCAAGTGCATCCTCAATTTTCATTTTTGGTTCAGAATTTCATTTTGGTGCACTGCTAATATAGATTTAAACCACAATAACAGTTCAGCAGTCAGTAATATGCAGTCAGTAATATGCTACCCTTCTGCTGGCTAGATCGTTGGGGCTCAACTGTTATGGTGAAGCACTCAAGGTAGTGTCCCTTTAGGAACTGATGCAGACACTGCCACTGTATTTCTTGAAGACAGTTCTGTCCCTCTTTTATCAAGGTGCAATGAACGTTTGGCCAGCAAAGTGTACCCCAGTCAGTGTTTTCAGTGTCCGTTTCACATTATAAAGCCAGGATTGAAAATACATTTCCCTATCAACACAGTCAGTTTTGATGGGGAAACCCCTCCCGCGAGCTATTGTGTTCTCCAGAACACAGAGATTATTGTTATCGGCTATAGGCACTGGCAATAATCGCATGCAAAATCCAACATCCTGTTTGTACCCAAGCTGTACAATAATTGGATTGGGTACAATCGGCCTGTCCATAGATGGTTCAAATCTCAGCCGGTTCAGCAGGGATTCAAACCATCTATAGCTGGCTTAACTCTCTTTGGGAAGTACATCTCCCACAGTCCTACACACTTCCCCTAGCAGTCCACATCCTCAGTTCACCCTCTAATGGATTAGGGCGGGCTTAACACTGGCTGCACAGTTCAACAATGGCAGTTGTCTCTGTCCTTAGCTGTGCCTGTGTAAATTGTCTCAGAGTCCTTTTCCTGCCCGAGCTGCAGACTGGGCCACTTCAGGTATAATCACAAATGTGAATGTACCCTTAACGCTTTCCAAATGCTTTACCTGTTCTTTAATATGAAAGATAGCCATACGCCGTAAGGTTTCTCTTATATAGCCTCACAGGGTGAGTAAGGGAAATCTACAGATTTCTCCCATTCATGCTAACCAGCATGGATGGAGGAATCTCCTTTGCTGGCTATTGTATTTAGACAGTAGCTTGGCTGTCAGAATACCCAAACAGTGGCTGCATTCGATTGGATACAGCCACTGTTTGACCAGGTAGGATGGTTCTGGCAGGGCCAGCTACAGCTCGAATTTTGGTCAATTCATCTGGTACCAGTCGAAAATCAATCTGTGTATGGCCAGCTTAAGACTGAATGCACACCTTTACATTACAGTAACACACGGTTATATATACACATGATCACATTTCATTTTCAATGACATCCCAATATACATGCCAAGAACACCAAAATGGACTTGCATTTAAGCATCTCACAACTGGAGGGTGCAAAATCTGGTGCAGCTGTGGGCTAGCCTGCGGTGCAGTACAACAGCTTACAATCTTACACAAATCTACAGTATTCCCCCTCCCATAACTGGTCCTGTAGTACGTGCCTGAGTATTCCCTCTGAGAAAAATGCAAGTCTTTCTTGAGTTTGTAGGATTTTATCAGCTCTCCAATGTGAAATGTCACTTTAAGTTGTGGAGTCCTTCCAATGATCAGTAAGAACACTTGTGGCCTGACACAAACAGAGACCCTAACTAACTAACTATAGGCCTGGACTCAGTCTCAAGGCGCCAACACTGAAATGAGGTGCGTGCACGATCTTACCGACCTGGGTCTGCTTTGCATACGCTGGTGACTCTGAACAGAACAAATGTCTCTCCAACAAGCATGCAGTCTCGCCGTATATGTTGCTTAGTTCCTCTGCTCTCATCAGCATTCCTGGCAGCAATCTCATCAGCTTCCTGGCAGCAATCTCATCAGCTTCACTTAGCTGCAGCTCTGGTTACGGAGGGGTGCTCACACACCTGGATGTTTTCAGATTCTCAGCTCACAGGCCCCCTTATTCACCATTCTCCAGAACATGGCTGCTCTCTCTCCTCTGTGTGAAAACTCCACCTCTTCATGAATATAGAAATCTCTATGCAGTCTGAAGCTGTGTCAGAAAAACAGTGACATCTTGTGGCTAAACTGCAGAATGTCAGTCAAAACATTTAATTTACTCCAGACAAGCAGTATTCAAACAATGAGAGCTGCTTCCCCATCTCACACAGCTGCCCCAGATGTTGCGCTCTCCAGTTCTAGTAAATCAGCCCCCATGTGTCCCCACGCCAAATTCAGCTGACAAGCTGTACAGACAAGTGGCACCACCCCAGTCTATAACTAGCCTTTGCAGTTAGATGCAAATGGAAGGCTTTGCACATCACAAACATACAGTGGGTATAGAAAAGAATTACCCTCTTTAAAATCATCACATTTTGTTGCTTTGCAGCCTGAAATGAAGACAAACACAGTTTTTGTTTTATCCAGCTGTGTTTACTCAGTGCACCTAGTAGAGACATATCCCAACAGACTAAAGGCTGGAATTTATAATTATTATTATACAGGATTTATATAGCACCAACAGTTTGCTCAGCGCTTTACAAAATGAAGGTAGACATTACAGTTCCAATACAATTTGGTACAAGAGGAAACAGAGGGCCCTGCTCGTTAGAGCTTACAAGCTAGTAATTAAAGTGAAAGCGCAGTTCAACAAAATACTGACACAAGGGGGGTGATCCTTTTTCCAACTCAGTGATTCTGTTTTTTTTTATTTTTTTTATTTTTTTCAGACATGTTGGTGTTATATCTTTCACTTGGATGTTATAAGTTGCATTGAGTAAATACAGCTGGATAAAACAAAAACTGTGTCTGTCTACATTTCAGGCTGCAAAGCAACAAAATGTGATTATTTTAAGGGGGGGGTGATTCTTTTTTTTTATACCCACTGTATCTTAGACACTTGTAAGGTATTTGGGAAGCTTTTGCTTTTTAATGCATTTCTTTAAAAAAAAAAAAACATTTTACAAGGCATTCTGAAAACTTTAGACAGAACTAAACAATTGTCTTCAAAACACATTAAAAATGTTTCTTTTTCTATATGAGATTCAGAAGTTTTTTAACAGGCATTTCAATGCTCATTTGACCTTAGGAAATGATTTAACAACCAGGGAGATCCTGGAATCAGGGCAAATGTAACACATCAGTGCTAATGTTACAGGCTGGTTTACCACTTCCCACCAGGGGTGGACTGACCATTTGGAAACTCGGCACTGCCCGAGGGCCCGGGGTCAGTAGGGGGCCCCATGAGATGCCCCTGGTACCTTTTTCATAGGCTTTTTTGAGTTTGGGCAAGGAAACAGGGGCCCCATGATCCCCTATTGCCCGGTGGCCCCATGAGTTGTCAGTCCGCCCCTGCTTCCCACTTTTATTGGCTTACAGGGATAAGATCTAAAATGGGTTTAAGGGGAACCAAAGCCATTCCCACTTTGCAGATCCATCAAAACTAATTTACAATCTTGCCACCACAGCAATAAACTAACCTTCCTGGCCTTCGAACCTAGGTCAGCTGGCTCAGAGGGGGTAATAATAGGGACATGTTATATGCCAGCCCCCTTACTATAAATTGCTGGGTTGCCAGCAGAGATTTGTCAGTGTATGTTGGAGCAGTTTATAGAGAGCTGACAGTCTGTGTTTAGAAAGTTAGTTGCTGCCATACATTGCTATGCTGTGCTACATCATTGTGAATTGCAGTGTGGTGGGCTTCATAGCCTTGTGTAGATCCCCTGTGTTCACAGTTCAGAGATCCAAAGGTCTTTTTTAGGATTACCAACTGTGTTTTTTTTCTTTTGGGTTAACATAACAAAACAAGATTGGGGGTTACTGTTTCAGGTTTAAGTAGTTTTTGAGGAGCTATGATTTTTCTTTTTTTACTAGAACCTTTTTATTTCATGTTGTGGTCTGCAGTGTACATTTGTGGCAGACACAGGCAAAGCTGTCCTTTGTTTGCAGAACTTCGCTACATACTTACTGTTTTGGGCAACAATTCACCACATCATTTTTCCCCCTACAGCTGCCATTGACGTTTAGGCAAGCACCTTTCGTTAAAATGTTGAGCAGGCCTAAATGGAGAGGCAGAGCTTCTACACACAGATGTAGTAGAGGGCATGCAGGCTCTGAAGGACAAAGTCGTCAGGTTGTACCACCTAGTTGAAGGGCATGTGTGCCTTTTCCACTTGTGATTGGCCATGCTATACAGCCAGAATATGTGCAGAAGTTGAGTAGCAGAAAGCCTTCCTCTTCTTCTTCTTCTTCTCAGATGCAAAGCAGCTACTTATCTGCAACTGCTGTTAATAATCCTCTTCATCCTCCTCCTTTTCTTCTGCTAATCCTGCCATAGCCCTGCAACCCACCATAAAGGAGTTTATATAATTAGTTCATTACATGATCAGTCACTTGCAGCAGGAGGAGGACCTTGGTCATGCGCAAGCACTCTTTGTTTTAGGCATTAAGCAAGAGAGTGCCATGGTCATAGAAGATGGGGACATTAGGCAGGAAGCAGCAAGAGGCAATGTTGTTCCTGTAGCTGGACCTTACTGTCAAGTAGGATCCAATGATGAGCAAGGGATGAATAATGAAGTGGCAGACCTTACATGGGTCCCACCGATTGGAGAGGAAGAACAGAAGCGACTGAAGATTTTGTCCAGGGCAAGGGGCAGCTTTTAGAGGACCAGAGGAAGCAGCCTTCCTATTCCATCTGGCAGCATTGTCCCACAGTTGCAGATCACTGCTATTTTCAGGGCTGTAGCTATTGTCTATCAGATAACACATTCTATTGTTTATTTAACAATAAAACCCACCTAGTCTCTTCCTCTTACATTATCTCTATTTCCTGCTTATTCAAGTGGTTGCAAACTCTCCTAACACTAGCCAAGGTCTATTAAACACATACCTGAAGTCTATAATTTGAATATTTCGGGAATAATTAGGGATACAGGGAGGAGGGTTCACGTTCTCTTTTGACATTTTATAAAATGTTTAAGACAATGAAGTATAGTACTGAGAGAAAAGAAAGCACACAAATTGTTGTGCCACCAGACAATTTGTATGAAGTTGAGGGTTTTATCTTTATTTTTTAAGATTAATCTCCTCAACATGTAATTTAGAGGATCGGTGGCTTTCCCATGTTTCCCTCAAAGTGACAATAAAAGGAAGATCCTTTACCTACTCTATGGTATTTTTTGTACATTTTTGTTTCCACAGTGACCAGTGGCAGTTCCCAGCTTCTTATGCCCTCTTTTTTTTCACAATACCTTGCATTTTAGCCTTGAAAATTACCAGAATATAATTGTAAGATTCCCCCCTCATAGACTTCAACAAGGTTTTATTTTAAGTTCAGGTATTCTGTACTTCGTGCAGGATTCTAAGAGACCCCTGCAAATCAAACCCAGGGATGTCCGCTCATCCCCATTGACTTATTACTTAATGAGGAGCAGCCTTACTGACCCATAGGAATAGAAAAAGGCAGGAAGATGCTAACCTGTCCAACAATAGTAACATTTGTGGAATATTACTTTATTACTGCCAAGATTTTGGGTTTCACCACTACTGCAGCAGTACCTCAGCAAAGTGCTTTTTGGGTACTGACAAGTTTACTTTAAAGAGGAGTTTGCACTTATATAATTCATACAAATCTGCTAGAATGATAACCCGTGATGGGTTGACCTTAAATTAGAACTTTGGGATCTCTGTTAAAGCAAGGGAACATCTGCTTTGATTTATAAATGTAATCTATTAACAAATGTGTTACTTGTTTCTGAAATTGTGAGATGGCTAAAATATGAACTAGTTAAATACTGTTCTAGAGAATAATTTAATCTTGGTGTCCACATTGTTTTTTGATCCTTGGAAGTCAGTAGGAAGTAGGCAGTGTCTGTCTCTACCCACTGACTGCTCTCCTGAGAAAAAGACATGATTACACATACATTTATGTAGGAGTGTTAGAGGCAGGTGGGCTCTATAAAGACATACTTTTTTTTAAGAAAAGGTTGTTTGTTTTGAAATGACATAAGACTTTTATTATGCATTTTTTTTTATTATTCTAATAATGGTTAGCGGAGTACTCCTCTCAACAGGCTACTTTTGATACTTAGCAATAGTTATAAGCAAGGCATGACCAAACAGGGTGTGCTACAGTAATGATGTTATAATTTTTTTCACAGGAAATGAATGCCCTGCGCCCGTCACCACTGAAGCCTGGCATGCGCAGGAACTCAGCCGTCACATGTTATCCAGCTGTAGAAAGTGGGCCACAACTTTCTCTTTACTATCGGCCAGACCGGGCTCGGGAAGCAGAGAGTCGGGCTGGGCACTGTAAAGATGGCATGTCACCGTCTGGCAGGAACTCAATGTCTAGCCTTCCCACTCATCCCAGCAAGCTGGGCACTGGATGCCACTTGGATGCTCTACTGATGCCAACAGGGCGTTTTGGAGGCAGTGCCCACAACATCACTCAGAGCAACAGGAGCAACATGCTGAGCCTCAGGGCTATGTCTCTGTCAGATGGCGGCAATGCTAATAAGATACTCAGCGTACCCACAAAGTCCGGTCTAAGGTCTCCTCCATCCTGTGACGAGTTGGTAAGAAAAGAGCCTGGTGAAAATGCAGATGAAGGTCACCGAGGAGGTATTTCCAGGTCAAGGCAAAGCTCTCAGAGAGGCCAGAGACCCCAGCACATGCTTTCTATCCAACTGACAGAAAGAGAGCCCATGGATGGCAAGATGCGAGGGTATGAAAAAGAGAAGAAGATCACCATTAGCCCATCTATGGATGAAACACAATGGGAGGTAAGGGTAAAAACAGAGGACTCAAATTAAAAATGAAAATGAGTTTTATAAAAATTTAGGGTACAATTTACCAGTTAGTCAGACCAATTCAAAAGCTTATTCCCAGCTTTAAAGCATATCTAAACCAAAGAATAAAAATGTAATATATTATAGCTCAGTGTTTCTCAACCTTTTTTCAGCCAAGGCACCCTTTAAAATTATGGACAATGTTAAGGCACCCTCTAAAATTATGGACAGTCCAGAGGCACCCTTTACAATTATGGACAGTCTTGAGGCACCCCATTCTAAAATGTAAAAACTGTTCTAATAGTTTTATATAATGCAGCAACATCCATACGCGTAGAACACCCAACGTTAGAGGTGATTTATTCTTCCAAAGCAAATACACTTTTGCACACTGGTACTGACTAGTATTCTAATGTTTCTCTTCTCCCTCAGTTTTTCTCCATCACTGAGCTAATGTGACTCCAGCACTGACAGAGGGGCAGGGGAGGGTCAAACAAAGATGCTGTGAAGGCAACTGACATTCTGTTTATCAACTGATGATGTCATTGGTTGTCAGGACGCCGGTGGCTAGAAAATAGTAATACCTGTGGCTTTGTGTAACTAATAGGCAGGCTTGTTCCACTCGCTGGCTTGTATACAAGTTTTTTTGCAATATTTTGAGATTTTGCCAAGGCACCCTGGTTGAAAAAGGCTGTTATAGCTTACCAGCCCTTAATTACGGGGGGCATGACCATCAGAATTGTCACTACTGATTCACAGGACTGTAGTTTGCCAATCAGCATTTAGTTACACATAGTCCTGTCCACTGCTTTCTAAATTGGCAGCATGGTCTTTGCTACTAAAACCCTTCATTGTGAGCTGCAGTATCTGTGAGGGGAGCATGTGAGACACAAATAAAGGATGATTTGGCTAAAGCTGGTCATAGATGGTTTGTATCTCAGTTGGTTCAGCAGAAACCAGCCAAGATTTGAACCATATATGGGTAGGCTAAATGTACCCAAGTTGATTGATCGATCAACTAGCCTGTCGGATTTTACATGTGTGATTATTGCTAACAGCTGGTACAGCCTCTAGCAATAAGCACTGTCTTCTCCCAACGAAATTGGCTTCCTGGCTGGGAGAATACAATGGCTTGGCAGGAGAGATTCCCCTGTCAACACTGTCCTGTGGTTGCAGGAAAGAAATTCCTCCTTGTATGGCCAGCCAGTCAGGAAAGACCAAGGAAAACTTGTATTAGCTTTATGAGGTTCATACATCTCATTTTAACATGAATAGTACTTGTTTAGGAGCTTTTAGTTGTACTTTAAAATTTCTAGATGTTCCCTATATCATAAAAAAGTTGACCTTTTGAGTTCAGGTCCACTTTACTACATTAAAGTAGAACTTTAGCATTAGTAAATAGATAGGACAGTATATAATATTTACTTGTTTTAAACCTTTTTTTTTTAACATTTCTTCAATTACTTCCTGGTTTCCATGCCTAGGCTAATGATGTCATACATCCCAAGAGTCTTCAGGAGGAGAGGAAAGGTTCTCTGCTCAGTCTATGTCTGAGTTAAGGGTAGATGGATTCCAGGAAGTAAATGATACATGAATTATCTGCCCTTACTAAAAATGGCCACTGCCAGAAATGTCAGGGGGTATTTTTCAAAACGATTTCACAGTAAAAAAAAAAAAAAAGCATGGAGACATGGATGAATGGCTGCATTTCCTTTGAATAATAAAAATGAATTAAATCGCATTTTTGGTGTGTGATGCTCAGATACAGTGCAGTTCCATTTTAACTAACACTGATAATACTTTTATATAGTTTTATATTACAATGAGCACTGATAATACTGACAATGTTTTATATCACAATGATCTCTTTTACCTGTATGTCTAAAAGACATTAAAAATATAAATCCCCTTTAACCTTTATTAGTAACAACAAATTTTTGGCATCTTGGTTTAAAGTGTTACTAAACCACAACAGTAAAATTAGTCTGTATATGTAGTAAAGCATGCTTGTTATACTCCCTGTGGAACCTAAGGGGTTAATCCACTGCATTGTGTAAAAAGGCTGTTTGATCCTGTCTTCTCTGACCCTCCCCTTCTTCCAGTGTCCCCCTCTTATCTCTTGATAAGACATATGGCGTGGAGACACTCTGCACATGCTCAGTTTGGTTTGTATTGCTAGAGAGGGTTTTTTTTTTTTTCTTGGGAGAGTGCATGTGATCAGCACAGGGCCATTCAGCACTGTCCAGACAGAGGTCAGGGGTTCTGCATCCTCCTAGAGCAGAAGGAAAACTCCTCCTACAAGCTTTAACCAGTGCTCTGCTGAACACTGATAGAAGTCACAAGACTGCTCTAACTGCTGATGAGAAAAGGTATTTAGCAGTTTATATATACTAAAATAATTGCTTTTCCATGTTATGTGTTATTTAATATAGCAATTTATAAAGGAAGAACCAGCAGATAGTTCTCTTCCTAATGCATATTAAACACTCCAATTCTACAGTATACTGTAAACTAAGAGAAGATGCTTTAAAGCAGCAGAGGAACCGCTGACCAGTGGATGGAGTGCCAGCAGTGCAGCTCCCAAATATCATAGTCACAAGATAAATGGAGAGAGATTTTTTCCTTTGTAACATACATCTGAAAACAAACCTATCCATAAAGTGCCATTAAAGCTGCAGTCCAGGCAGGTAAAAAAAAAATTGTTAGTTTTGGGTTCAACTACAAAAACTATTAAATATATTTTTGAATGCTGCTAGAGTAAGTGGCTGAATTGGATTTGTTATCAGCCTCAGCCCCATGTAAAGCAGCCGTAAGACTGGAAGAGTGAGGATCTGGCATCCTGTAAAGCATATGAGCTAATAGGATAGATTCCGAAAAAAAGAGAAAGCAGACTGAACAAAGAAAAGACTCCCCAACATGCTGCTGCTGTTCATTTTATTAACCAATCATTGGCTGAAGGTGGGGAAGTAACCAAGCTGCTTTGCTGAAATGCAGCAAAGTCAGGCCACCAACCTGGCTCAGCTATCTATTGTGTAAATTTCAGGACTGAATGGACATAAATACAAATTATTATGCAGGTAAGATGGCTCTCTCATATATGCATTTCATCTTTATATTTATGTTTGCCTGTAGTTCAGCTTTATAATCCTTGTTATATGGATGATTTGATATTTCTTCAGAGATTTTCCTTCAGGTTTTCCAGTCCCAGTAATATTGTTGTACTCATTTTTCATACAGGTATGCCAGAAATCTGGGGAAATTGCTTCCCTACGCCAGCAGTTACGAGAAATCCAAGAAGAGTCGTCTCTACGTGCTAGTGAAATTCTAAGCTTGAAAGCTCAACTTCGGGAAACAAAAGGCCGTGCAGAGGTCCAGGAGCAGCGGGCAAGAGAGGCAGAGGAAAGATTGTGTGTAGCAGAGGCAGAGAGAGATGATAGGGATGATACAGTGGCAACAGAAGCTGAGCTAGAGTCCCTCCGTACAGAGCTTGAGGCAGAGCGGCAGAACAATGAGCAGATGACCGATGTGTTCCAGAGGGAGAGGAAAACATGGCGGGATGAGAAAGAGAAGGTCATTCGGTATCAGCGCCAGCTGCAGCAAAACTACCTTCACATGTGCCAGCGATGCCAAGCTCTGGAGCAAAGGCTGAGGGCTCTGAGTGGAGAGGACCTGGATGACGGGCCCATCATGACTCTGCCTGATATGGAGATCTCCTTCCAGGACATATTAGCCACTGAGATCTGACCAGAGCGAGAGAGGCTGGTTGTATGTGGTGTGTACGAGTGAGAATGGGACTGTGCATGAACACATGTTGGACCTCATTACTGAAAGTTTGTTTCTTTTGCCCATAGCAACCAGGCAAATTCTCCCTTGCAATTTGTGGCTCAATACAGGAGACCCTAACTGGTTACTGTGGGCAACATTTCCTCCCTAAAACACCAGAAAAGTTATTTGGGACCTGTCCATCTCGAAACCTTGGATGTCAGTTGAGCTGACATTTTATTTTTAATTTGCAAATTTAGTGAAGCTACATGGCCTTCAAGCCCTGACTATTTTTTTAGGGTGCAAAATTCTCATAGTTCTCTTCTATGAGCCAGGTTCTAGGCTTTATTTATTAAAACTATGGAGAAGGGCCAACTCAAGCCCAGTTCAGTCTTTAGGTTCCAATAGCAGCTTTGCCCCCCATTGAGCATTGTAATTCTGTTAGCAGAGTTGTAATTAGGGGCATTGCATCTTGGGCACAGAGCTTGTAATAACACCCCCTTCTCCTCCAAATAAAACAGGTAATGCTGCATTTTTTACATATTGTGATGTACTTTAGCCCTTGCATTTTTCAAGTTTAATTTGAACAGTGTCATTTTTGCTGCAAAAAAACTCTCTCTCTACATACAGTCATGGCCAAAGATATTGACACTTCTACATTTCTGACAGATAATGCACAACTTCACCTAGAAAATTGCTGCAACTACAAATATTTAGGCCTTCTGATGTTTACATGGCACGCAAAACTCCAAAAATGGGCTGGACAAAATTATTGGCACCTTCTCAAAATTATAAAAATTGCATTCCAAGTTTGTGATGCTCCTGTAATTTGGAATTAAACTTATCAATTAAAAGGTGCTGACAATATAGAAATCACACTGGCAATCAGTTACAATTGTAAAAAATTGACTCAACCTTTCTGTTGTGTGTCTTTGTATACAACATGGAGCATGGAGAAAAGAAAGAGAAGCAAAAAATGTCTGAGGATTTGAGAACAAAAATTGCGGAAAAGCATGGACAATCCCAAGGTTACAAGTCCATCTCCAGAGATCCTAATGTTCCTGTGCCCAATGTGTGCAACATTGTCAAGAAGTTTACAGCCCGTAGCAACTGTAACTATTCTCCCTGGATGTGGACAAAAGAGAAAAACTTGATCAAAGATTACAATGAAGGATTGTTCAAATGGTGGCTAATAGACCTCGATCAACTTCCAGACAAATTCCAGCTGACCCTCAGGCACAGGATACAACTCGTGCCATCCCTCACCATACGTCAGCATCTGAATTAAAAGGGATGCTATGGTAGGAGACCAAAGAGGACCCCACTGCTGACACAGAAACATAAAAAAGCCAGAGTTTGCCAGAACTTGCCTGACGAAGCCAAAATCCTTTTGGGAGAATGTGCTGTGAGCAGACAAAACAAAATTACAGCTTTTTGGTAAAGCCCATCATTCTACTGTTTTCAGAAAAAGCAATGAGGCCTTTAAAGAAAAGAACACAGTCCATACATTCAAACATGGTGGAGGTTCACTTATGTTTTGGGGTTGCTTTGTTGCTTCAGGCACTGGATGTCTTGATGGTGTGCATGGCATTATGAAATCTGAAGACTACAAAGGAATTCTGGGCAGCAATGTAGGGCTTACAGGCAGAAAGTTGGGTCTCCGTCAGAGGTCATGGGTCTTACAGCAGGACAATGACCCAAAGCAGACATCAAAAAGCACCCAGAAATGGTTTCAGACAAAGTGCTGGAGAGTACTGAACTGGCCAGCAATGAGTCAAGATCTCAATCCCATAGAGCACCTGTGGAGAGATCTCAAAACAGCAGATGGAAAAAGGAACCCTTCCAATCTGAGAGACCTGGAGAAGTTGGTGAAAAAAGAGTGGCCCAAAATTCCAGTAGAGAGGTGTAAGAAACTCATTGATGGTTACAGAAAGTAATTGAGTTCAGTTATTTGTTCCAAGGAGTATGCTACCAAATATTAAATGGGGGATGCCAATAATTTTGTCCAGTCCATTTTTTAAGTTTTGCATGGAATGTGTCAGATTTGGCTTTTTGTTTCTTCACTTTTTTGTGTCATACCAATACAAACAAAATAAATAAACATGAGAATGCCTCAACATTTGTAATTTCAACAATTTTCTGGGTGAAGTGGTGCATTATCTGACAAAAATGCAGAGGTGCCAATTTTTTTGGCCATGACTATTATATATAATTTGTCCTAAGAATTAAATGTATAATGTCCCACACATATAAACCTTAGAAGTATGTTTTAAATATTTTTCCTCTCTTTACTATGACTTGGGAAGCTGCACCTGCCACGTTCCCCTTAGTTACTATGTCTACCACTGAATACAATAGCAGTCAGGGGAAATTTCTCCATTAGAGCTGTTTAACATAAATCAGGGAATGGATTAATTTCTTTTATTTAACACACGGAGCTGAACAAGAGAAATGTAAACTTATAAGGCTGCTTGAAAATTACTAAACCCAAGAGAAAAAATGCAACATATTGTTCTTACATGTGGTGGCCACATTACTTTCCTCTTTTCAAGAACATTTTAAGCAAATACAGAAAATATCTGTTGATATTGCCAAAATTGCAATGTCCCTCTCAGTTCCTGTGAGCTGCACTGTAAAATATCTTCCTTCCTTCCTAGAGATCTTCTGTAAACTACCAATTGCCCTGCCCCCTATGTAACAGATGTAGTGCTAACCTTTTGAGGGCCGCTGGATTTTTGGATCCCCCTTAAGTTCTGCACAGCCAGGCAACACGCATATTTCCACACTTTCTCCCAAAGTCAGTAAAACAGTGCTTGACACTTGGTTTTGTTGTTTTTATTTTGGGTTACCAAATTGGATGGAGTCTAGGGGTAAATGGGATGCCAAAGAAATTGTAAAACTTGAGGACCACTTCTATACAAAAAATGTGGACCAAAATCAGCAACAGTCTCTATAAGGAGCACTGAGTCCCCTTTGCTGTACCTCCTCAGACCCCAGATGAAACTCTCCTCATCCACCCGGCTGTCCTGAGGGTATACCTGGGCAAGGGATTCCAGAATCCACTGTGAAGCAGTCCCAGATAAGTACTAGTTGGGTATTGCACCTGACCACTCTCTCCCTTCTGTGGCCCAAGGGGTGTAGGAGTATTCACACTGTCCTTTTCGCTTTGTAGGTTGCAGCTGCTCTCAGGTCTTATGCTGGACCAGCTCCTTCCCTGCTTACAGGTTTTTCCTCCGAAGAAGAAGACTCTAGGGCAATGGAGATCCTCCTCTCTGCTTCAGCCTGTAGGTAGGCTCCCCTATCTGCCCCCCCCCCCCCCCCCCAGACTCCATGTTCCAGCACCTTTCTTCAGTCCATCATCCACCCAAACAAAACATTATACCCTGCTACACAGGCTCTCACACATTTAAGGGTTGCTCTTCGCCACCATGCCTGGCCTCCTGCCTGGGGATTGGCTACATTCCCTTAAACATGCAAATCTAGGACTCCTCCGCCCCTCTTCTAGAAAATTCCTTCAGTTTCTAGAAGTGTGGGAGGGCTCCAGAAGCCCTGACCTGTAAAGCCTCCCAGTCTGCCCTGAGGTAACCTCACTGCCTCACTCCCAGGCTGACTCATCCCAGGATTCCAACAAGCCCTTGGCTATCACACAAAAACCCTATCTACACTACAGGGCGCTACACAGAGATGAAAAGGTAAGGACGTGTTTGTAGTCCTTAGCAGCAGAGCAGCCTAGGGTGACAAGGACTGGCTCCCTCCATAGCAATGGAGGGATGACATAGCCACCCAGGGACAAGAAATGTGTTTTTTTGCAGGATAAAGAGAGAAAAAAATATTGCAGTCACCACACCAAGGAATAGTAAACTGCAATACATTACATTTCTTGCCTGCTGTCAAACTGAACTGTTTTTGTTCAGTTAAGAAAAGCAGAAGAAAACTGTATCCCTTTAAATCCTATGTAGCTCCTCACAGGGGTCTGTTGTGCTTCCCTCAATTGAAATTAAAGGAAAATGCATACAAAACATGACACCTGTGGGAAGTTCTCATGCCTGGGTTCACAGAATCGCAGGACAAAGGAAATCACATTATTTTCAGTGGTGACCTTCTAATCAACTCTGCACAGTGCAATTTTGGAAAAGGTTCCTCTTGGATTTCCATGCGATTTCAGCCCCACAGACTTATCATATCTCACAGAAGTCGCATCAGCATAGATAAGAAATGTTCCCATGCTACTATGGTGGATTCACGTCATCTACCTTCATCCATCAATTTCGATACAGCTGCGATTTTGGAGCCTTCCATGATCAACCTTTCTTTCAATTGATCGACCACCCTTTGATCGATCAACAGTTCCTTCGATCAATCTACCCTTTAATCAATCGATCTTTCCTTAGATCGATCCTTCCTTCTATCGATTAATCCCTCCTTACTGCCATTGATCCTTACTTCGATCGATCGTTCTATTCTTTCTTCGATCGATCAAAGAAAGAATCGTCCGAAGGAAGAATTGGTCGATTGATCAAAGGAAGGATCGGTCAATTGATCAAAAGAAGGATCAAAACTGCTTTAGTGTGAACATAACTTTTAGGCAGAAAGGATGACCAGGAAGGAGAGGTGAGGACTAAAAAAAACACTGATCCATCAAAGTCACATAGGGATGCTTCCTATCTAGGCTGATGTGACTTCTGTAAGATAACACAGATGTCCCATTTCACGTACATCACTTTTTCACATCTCACGCTGATGAGCGTAAAGTGTTTGTGCAAAAAAAAAAAAACATCTTTGCACCATACAGGCTGCACTTTTACCCCTATCTTTCGTCTCTTTTCAAACTCTGCAAAAACAAAACAATACCTTTGTTCTGCCAGAAATACATTAAAAACGTACTTTGTAACAACCTCCTCTGATGCACTGAAATCCAAAGTGATGTCCTACTTGAAGGCACCCCAAACTGCTTGCACCTGCTGACAACCATATAACTAGGCCTCAAGCCGCAACCAACCAGCTCGGAGACAACCATACTGTCCGCAGTGCAGCACCACCACCTTCCAGTTAAACCTTGGTTAACTGAGAATGTCCCCGGGCATCCCATACCACCGATGGGTCCCACACCATTGTTTTTACCTTCCAAGATAAGAACCGCCTCCAAAGACCAACAACCTCCCAGGAACCAACATACCCCCCCCCTCTACCTGGAGGGACCCAAAACTCACCCAAACAGGGAGGGCGGGAGGGAACCTCACATTCCTTCCAGCTAAACTGACGCCATCCCCATGGAAAGCCGAGATTTGAACCATCTACCAATGGCTAGCATAAGACAAATCCCCCAGGTAACCTTAACCCTTTCTGCTTACTCCCCCTTCCTAGTCATATGCCCTGCCTGTCTTTTCTTTAAATTTCTTCTTTGAACACATGCACTTTTTCCCTATCTTTTGAGTTTCAAACTCTGCAAAAAACAAAACAATACCTGGTTCTGGCAGAAATACAGAAAACTCTTTGTAACACTGCCTCTGATGCACTGTAATCCAAAGTGATGTCCTATGAATACCCCTGCTTGACTTGCTGAAAACTGCCCATAGTAGCCTATGCAAAAATTTTTGGTACAGTAGACCCATTCATGGGGAACCTTCCTACATGAAACCGAGATTTGGCCATCAGGCAGTGCCCGAGTTTCCCAAATGGTCCAGAATAAATCAGCCCTTTGGTTTTTAAGCACAAACTGGGATGCAGCACAAATGTAACTGGTATCAGTATCATCGTGTGTAAGTGTATTTTACTTCCATGTCTTCTAAAAGTAGAGGTCCATCATGGATCATCTACGGACCCCATATTAGGCAACAGCAGGTATAGCGAGCCATCTATAGCTCACATGAGCTGTGATTTCACACAATGTTAACACTCAAGATTTGAATTAATTATCTGCACCCCACTAAGCATCTATATTCACTTTGTAAACTTTGCATAAAATTTTTTTTTTTTTTCATACATTGCAATATCTGTTTTTTTCAGGAACTGCCCGAATCAGGCAGTGCATAGACTTTGCCATCCCTCCCCCTGAGGTGCTCTTAGCCCATCTGCCACAATGGATATCTGTATCCTCAGAACCATCCCTGGCTGCTGCTGGCCAAATCTACACACCTCCACACCTATGATCTCCATTTATGACCTCCAACATGATATGTACCAAAGTTATGCAAGTCATTGATAACTAGTCTGTGAGAGTGCACAGGCCTACTGTGTAGCAGGAGCAATATAACTCTGCTAGTTGGTATCCCTCTATGCTCTTGTAAAGCAAACTTAAAGTCTCTGTACGCCCAGAATGTGCTGGGCCACCAACATGGGAAATACAAAAATGGTAAGGGAAGGGTTTAGCTGAATATATGTATGAAAACCTGAAATTCTGAGGGCACTGGCGTAATTTTCTTAATATGAAGACATTGAAGAGAGATTTGATAAATCTATGGGTAGAATAGCAAACCCCTGTATAATGGGGAAGTGTGCCTCAACAGGGTCTGAGGCTGCAACAAGTGGAAATAGGCCATGGAAGGATGTGTGCTTTGTGTACCTTGTGCGTTTGTCCACCATGTGCAAAGTGACTGTGGAAGTATGAGTGCGCACACACATTGTGTGTATAAAGAGTCCTTCTTATAACACCCTATATGGTCCTCTTTGTTCCCTTAACATTTTTTGCAAATTGCCACAATGCTGTTTTGTGGAGTTTGTCCCGCACGCAGTCCATGTGTTCTGTGCACTGGTAGGAGTATGGCCACTGACAAGACTGGCAGAAGAACTGACAGATGTCAATCTTCGAAAAAGGAAAGAAGTAAAGAACCCATTGTATTCCTGTGGCAGATATACGGACGAAGCTAATGGAACAATGGTGTGCCATCTTTGGAGTAGAAAGAGCTCATAGACAACGCTTTGCTGGAAGGCAGGACTTATAGGACTGCTCTGCTGAGTTGAAAGAGAGGGATTAATAGTTAACGCTTGAACCATAGGTCAGGTAATTTGTGCAATGATCTTTTGAAATACAGGAAATGTCTGTGTATGTGACATCTAATAGTTGACCAGCATTGAGGAAATGACGTGACCATTGTGATGCTAAAGCCTTTGTGAATATGGGGTGGTGTTGTCACACCTTCCCTCATTGTCAATATCATGAGTGGGAGGGGCAACATATCAAACCTGGAAGGGGAAGCCATAACTCTGTGTCTGGTGCAGCCTGGTAGCTGCCTAATCAGTACAAATAAATTGAGATTTGATGTTTATATTGTTTTAAATAAAGAAATCTCCTGAATTATGTGAGGCTGTTATATACTAGAAATCAACATTTCCAATTATCAACAATATATGTACTGTTTAAGACAGAATAATTATCATGGATGTATATGATACTGATTTGGATAGAGCAAAAAAGGGGTTAGAAGCCCTTCATGATTTTTACTACTATCTGGGCTCCATTAGAAAGATTTCCCCTGAGTTAGCCCTGGTTCACACTGGATCGACCTTGAAGGATTTCAAAGCTGGATGGCAGTACAACTTGATAAAGATCTGTGCAACTTCATGCACAGATGTCTATACAAGTCGCACCCCAAATTGTCAAAAGTAGTGTAGGAAATACTTTTCCAACCGGTGCAAAGGCGATGAGTCACACCCAGGGGCGGACTGACAACTCATGGGGCCCCGAGGCAATAGGGGATCATGGGTCCTCTGTGTCCTTGCCCACACTCAAGCCACACCCAAAAAAGCCTGTGAAAGGTACCAGGGGCAGCTCATGGGGCACCCTCTGACCATGGGCCCTCGGGCAATGCCCGAGGGCCCGAATGGTCAGTCCGCCCCTGATCACACCGACCTGAGTCGGAGTCACACCAATTAGAACGGTTCTGTTGCCGATCATTGCATGCGATTTGAACAGTCAACTCACATGACAATTGGCATCAGTGTGAACCAGGGCTCACTGCCACAGCGGCAACAATTCCACCAGACAGAAAGTAAAGGAAAATGGTTGCACTGCAACACAGGCTGTAAAAAAAAGGTTTTCCTTTTTTTTTTTTTTTGTGGGGAGAGCTAGAATCCCTGCCGGCTTTGTAATGCTGTTTGTGGCTCTATTTCAGATTTTACCTCTCCTCATGGAGAAACTGTTTTCACCATGACAGTAAGGGGAAATCTCTCTAACAGACCCAGATTGGAGTAATATCTCAACAAGGGTCCTGATCCATCCCAACCCCGTCCAAAGTAAAAAAAAAATAAGAAAAGTTGGCTGACCATGCACTTGTGTGTTAGGTGCATTTACTCGATAAGGGAAAAAGTATGTGGCACTCCTGGTATATGGTTTTTGCTGAACTTTATTTAATAAACATGTAAAAAAAACAACAGACACAGCTCCAAGCAGACACACAGGTTAACACTTAAAGTGGAGCTCCACCCAAAAGGGGACGTTCTGCTTTAAAGATCGGTACCCTGCTCCCAATTAAGGATTGGCACCTTTGGGAGAGGGGGGGGGGAGCAGATATCCGCTCCCATGTCTGCTGTGCTCACCTAACCCAGGGGTCTCCTTCCTAACAAAAGGGCCAGTTTATTGTCCTTCACTTTAGGGGGGCTGGACTGTGGTGATTGGGAGTAGAAATTGTCCTGGCGTCAGTGGGAGTAAACTATTTATCTGTTGTGTTAGGAGGAGGAATTTTGCCCACCATTGGTATCATTGGGAGAGATAGTGCCCCATCATTGGTGTCAGTGGGAGGAATAGCATCCCATTGCTGGTGTCAGTGGGAGGAATAGTGCCACACCGTTGGTGTCAGTGGGAGGAATAGTGCCCTATCATTGGTGTCAGTAGGAAGAACAGTTTTAGTTGGAGGAATACTGTCCCATTGTTGATGTTAGTGGGAGGAATAGTGCCCCATCATTGGAGTTGGTTGGAGGAATAGTGCCCCATGATTGGTGTCAGTCAGAGGAAAGGTGCCCCATCATTGGTGTTAGTTGGAGGAATAAAGTCCCATCACTGGTGTCAGTAGGAGTAATACTGCCCCACCTTTGGTGTTAAAGGAACAGTGTCCCATCACTGCTGTCAGTGGGAGGAATAGTGGCCCATCATTGGTGTTAGTTACAGGAATAGTGTCCCATCATTGGTCTCAGTGGGAAGGAATAGTGCCCCATTGTTGGTGTCAGTGGGAAGGAATACTGTCTTGTATCAGTGGGAGGAAAAGTGCCCCAAGGGCCAGATAAAGTCAAGCAAAGGGCCACATCTGGCCCCCAGGCCACAGTTTGGAGACCACTGACCTACGCAATTGGAAGCAGACGTTGACCTCCTCCCTCCCCGTAGTCTTCTGGGACACCTGACAGGTCCTAGAAGACTACAGGACCATTCATAAAGCACAGTGCTACTCGCGCATGCACAGTAGGTACCCGGCTGTGAAGTCGCAAGCTGTCACACTGAAGATACCGGTGCTTGGAACACCAAACGGCCGGTGAAACGGGCTGCAGGGAGGACCCCACAGGATCGAGGGACAGGTGAGTGGCTGTTTTTTAAAAGTCAGCAGCTACAGTTTTTGTAGTTGCTGACTTATTTTTTTACAGTGTGACTGGAACTCCGCTTTAATGTAGGTTGATTTACTTTAAATGGAGACTGTAAAATCTGGTGTAGCTTAGCATGGTAGCCAATCAGCTTCTAAATTCAGTTTGTACAGTTAGCCCTGGTTCACCCCGGTGTGACTTCAGGTGCGACATATGATTTACAAATCACACCTGAAGTCATATCTAATGTATTTCTATGGCACTGTCTTAATCAGTGCGATTTGAAGTAGCACGATTTCAAAAATAGTTCCTGTCCTACTTTTTTCCGGTTTCATTGTGACTTGCATTGACTTCTGTTAAATAAAGTAGCAAGTCACAGTGAAATCGGAGGTACAAATCTCACTGATCTGCAACTTAGAAATGGCGTACTGCAAGTTAAGTAGCGCCATTTCAACGTTGCATTCAGTGTGAACCAGGGCTAAAGCAAAAAAAAAACCTGGAGTGCTGTCTATGCAGAGCTGCACCAGATTCTGCACTCTCCAGTTTTAGTAAATCAAGTCTGTGTTTTGAGACTAAAGAACCTCTCCTGGGGAACATATGAGTGCTGCAGCTGCCAACATCCCCCTAAAAATACCCATTGCCTGGCTCTTTGGCTTCAGTGCTTTGTGAGTCAATGACCAGATGCAACCCATGATTTGCATACCTGTTCAAGGTCAGCTATTTGATCAGCAGGGCAAGTAAGTAACCATGATTTTCAGGAGAGTTGAGGTATGGCAGACTCCATATCTCACTTATCTAATTTCATTCTTAATTTCTTCACTGTAAGGTGTGTGTATGTGGGTGATATCTATATTAGTGTTGTGTTCATTATAACATACTGCCATTTGGTATAAAAGGATATCTACACCAGCATGGAATACAAGGACACATCATCCTACCCAAAGGACAAGTAAGAAGACTTGATCACCACCTGATCCATGGAAATTATACTTATTACAAATGGAACACAGGCATGCAGGTAACCACACTGTACTCATAAAATGTAATATTTCACAAACTGCTTGTAACCCTGAGAAAGCCCAGTGTACCCTTACACAGGGCCGTGGATAAGGGGGTACCACCAGTACTCCTGTACGGGGCCCAGGCAGCTGTGGGCAGGGAGGGTGATCGGCACGGCAGGGGGGCAATTACTTGAACTGATCTTCTGTATGGATCTCGCTCTGCAGCAGCTGAAAGCTGGCTTCTTCTCCTCTCCCTCCTGCTTTCAGCTGCTGCAGAGACAGCCAAACAGGGGATGGATTCCAGTAATTGCACCCCACATCCCCGCCACATCCATCACCCTCCCTGTCGATGATGCAATTCCCTCTTCTGTCCAGGCCCCCCTGCATGCCCCCACCCCCACAGTGCTGCTGGCTTCCCTCCTCTTCTTCCCAATGACAGTTTCAAGCACATAGTAGGATTCTTCAGTGTGGGGGAAGCGTCCGGTAAGTATGTCACCTTTACTAGCCCCTTCCTTTCCTGAATGAACGCAATGAGTGGTTTGTAACAATCACTCACTGTGTTCATTCATAACTGAAGCATAGGAAAAAATTTTTGGGGGGGAGAGGGGCCCTGTCAGGTTGGCTGTATGGGGTCACATGGTTTCAAACAGCAGGCCTGCACTTACAAATCACCAAAAACTACTTTAAAGCGGAATTTAACTGTATCTGAGCAGCACAAACTGAAAACTGAATATTTTTAACATTCAAAGAAAATGCACCCATCCTTTCTATTCCTCCATGCTTTATTTTGTTGAGAAATCACTTTGACCCCCCATCCCCTTCCTCAGCATTTCTAGCTGTAACCATCTTGAGTAATGGCAGATGATTTATGCAGTATTCTCTTCCTGGCATCCATCTGTCCTTAGCTCAGGCATGAAGGTGTGCTTACCTGAAAAAGACCCCTCCTCCCGATGAAAGAAAAAAAAAAGGCTATGGTGGCTCAGAAACCAAGAAGCAACTGAAAAAATGTAAAAAAAAAAGAACCTTTACAACAAGTAAATATAATATACCTTTCTATCTATTTACTTATGTTAGCAGAAATAGGAAAAATAGTCAATGTTGACTGAGAGAGTTTATTTCCGCTTTAAAGAAGAATTCCAGGTAAAATTATTATTTTCCCATGCAGTGGGGCTGTGCCCGCACTGCCTGGGTTAAATGTTCATTTTTGTCTAGGAGCTTGGAAAGCAATGATATACTTACCTAATCCGTCGATCCTCTGGGAGCAAGACTGGTCCCCACTGCTCCTCTCGCATTGTACTGTGGGCAGATGGCTGTAGGCAAAGCGACATATGGGTATGTCGCTGCCTACTTCCGGGTTTCGGGCACGTGCGCCCCCCTGCCAGAACCCGATGTGATTGGAAGTATATGATCACAGTCCAGAGCTCTGTGTTGACATTCAACACCGAGCTCTGTACACAGTGAGTGACCTGTCAGTTTATCATCCCTGCTTTACTGGGATGAGAAACTGATAGATCTCTTAGTATAAACTGCATACTTTACACACATTACATATAGTTAGGCATACATTTAACCCCTGATCGCCCTAGATGTTAACCCAAGTCCAGCCAGTGTCATTAGAACAGTGACAGTGTTTAGTATTTTTACTGATCACTGTAATAATGTCACTAGTGATGGCAGTGGTAGTTCGTGTCAGATTACCCGCCAAACTCCTGCAGCCCCATTATATATTGCTGTTTGTCGCCATTATTAGTATTAAAAAAAAAAAAGAAAGTCCAATATATATCCTATATTTTTTAGATGCTATAACTTTCACGCAAACCAATCAAACTAAACACTTACAGGGATTTTTTAAATCAAAGACGTAGCAGAATACATTCTGGCCAAAATTTATAAAGAAATGTTTTTTTTGGATAAGGTTTATAGCAGAAAGTAAAAAATATAGTGGGTCTTTTTTAATTTATATCACAAAAAATAAAAAGCACAGCAGTGATCAAATACCACCAAAGCTCTATTTGTGTGAAAACAATTATATATATTTTGTTTGGGTACAGTGTTGCATTACCACACAATTACCAGTTAAAGTAGCGCAGTGTGATAAAACAAAAAATGGCCTGGTCATGAAGAGGGTAAAATCTTGCAGAGCTGAAGCGGTTACTACACAATAATAAACACTGCCTAAACTACACCTCTGGTTTTTAGGGGTTTTCTTTCACAAAGGTAAGAGAGTACTGCCACTGTGTCAAAAACACTATAGGCTTAGCAAATGAATTCAATCAGATTGCAGAAAAGCCTAGAGAAAGCAACGTGCCCTAAAACTCTCGATACAACATAAAATGAAGTAACCCCAACATGCTGATGTATACTGTCCTGTCCACCTGCCATTGTTTAAATTACCTAGTGCATTGGTAGGTGGTAAGGG